GGGACTACAGGCACTCGCCACCTTGCCCGGCTAGTTTTTTGTATTTTTTAGTAGAGACGGGGTTTCACCAGGTTAGCCAGGATGGTCTTGATCTCCTGACCTTGTGATCCGCCCATCTCAGCCTCCCAAAGTGCTGGGATTACAGGCTTGAGCCACCACGCCCGGCATGTTTTTGTTTTTTTAAACATAAGTAGAGAGGAGGTCTTGCTATATTGCTCAGGCTGGTCTCCAACTCTTGGGCTCAAGTGATTCTCCCACCTTAGCCCCTGAAAGTGCTGGGACTACAAGTGTGAGCACCATGCCCAGCTTCACATCTTGCGTCTGTCTGTCCCAAGTGTGGAATGGGTACTGCAGACATTTGCAATTTAACTGGAGATAGACAAAAACACCGAATCACAGAGTGAAAAAATTATTCCCTTTCCTATCCTCAGTAACTTAAGAAAAAAGTCGTTTAAAATTTGTTTTTAAAGAGATGGAGTCTCACTCTGTCACCCAGGCTGAACTACAGCGGCACAATCACGGCTCACTGTAGCTTCCATCTCCTGGACTCAAGTGATCCTCCTGCCTCAACCTTCCAAGTAGCTGGGATTATAGGTCTGTGCCACCATGCCCAGCACTATACACTCTTTGAATAAAAAAGAGGGAGATTGGCCAGGCGCGGTGGCTCACGCCTGTAATCCTAGCACTTTGTATTTAGAAGATTTTAGAAGTGTTAGAGAGCTGGCACCAAATAAGAATTCCTCCTGTCAGGCACGGTGGCGGCTCCAGCCTGTAATCCCAGCTCCTCTGGAGCCTGAAGTGGGAGCATCACTTGACTCTAGGAATCAAGATCAGCTTAACCGATATATTTAGACCCTGACCAACATAGAGACCCATTTCAAGAAAAAATGTATCTAGTGTTTAATAATGTCATATTTAGGCTGGGTGCGGTGGCTCATGCCTGTAATCCCAGCACTTTTGGAGGCCAAGGCGGGCGGATCACGAGGTCAGGAGATTGAGACCATCTTGGCCGACATGGTGAAACCCCATCTCTACAAAAAAACATAAAAAATTAGCTGGATGTGGTGGCGCGTGCCTGTAATCCCAGCTACTTGGGAGGCTGAGCCAGGGGAATCGCTTGAATCTGGGAGGTAGAGGTTGCAGTGAGCCGAGATCGTGCCTGACATAAGGGGATTTGCTGTGAGTCAAGGTCTGAGGAAAGCGCCAGTTCGCAAAGCCGTTTTGGAAAACTGGAGTGTGGGGGTGTGTGCAGGGTGAGGGGAGGAGGCGTACTCTGGTCCACGCTACGTCTAGCAGCGAGTATGTGGAGCTTTTGAGCCGGATGCCCTGGTGCGCTGCCATGGCAACACAGCCGCGTGCAGAGGCCCACGGCAACCCATCACTGAACAGAGCTGTGGCGTTTCAACGGAGAGTTTGGGACATCAGACAAAGTGGCGACCAGAAGCAGCCAAAATGAGACCTCGACGGCAGAGGTCTCCACAGCGAAGCCTGGAACTTTGCGAAATCTGCACGCGACGCCACAGTCACACAGCGCGACAGAGCCCTGTACGTCATCGTTCCGCGACGCCGACGCGGTGAGATGACGCCCTCCCGGAAGTGGCCTGTAGGTCGGTATGTGAAACTGGTAGTCGACGGCTCCTGGGACCAGAGCCCGCGAGGTAGCGCCTGGACTATTTTTCTACGTATTCTCTTGATCCTGCCGAAGTCTTCCAGATCCGCGTAGTGAGGAATCGTCTCCACCATCATGGGGGGCGGAGACCTGGTGAGTGGAGGGAGGCCTGGGCGGGGGAGGACTGAGGCCGGGGCGGGGGAGGAGTGAGGCCGGGACGGAAATTGGCAGGGGGTGGGGGGTGGGGGTAGAGGAAGGAGTGGATAACCATAGCAACTCAGCTTTGCTTTCGCCGGGAGGGGGCCGTTGCCCTGAAGAGGGGATGGATCTTTAGGGCAATGGAGGGATGGGACTGAGGTTTGGGAAAGTCCGAGGTGTGTCGCGAACTGTGACAGGTGGTGTTTGTGTGTTTGTTGACTGCAGCCCTGCCGGCTGTAAATTCTGGGAATACCAGGGAGGGGGCGGATGGAGCCAAGGCTAGGAAAGGAGGTAGATATTGAGGACGTGTCACTACGCTTTGTTTTGTATATCTTGTCTTGCCACACAGCTGTCTTCCTTGGGTGGGAGTTCAGAGTCATGTCCTGGACTGAAGTAGGCGTGGTTTGTGCCCCATTCACCCTACCCTTTGCCATGCCCTGGGGTCCTTTTTTTTTTTTTTTAAAACGGAGTTTCTTGTTGCCCAGGCTGGAGTGCAGTGGCGCGATCTCGGCTCACTGCAACCTTCCCCTCTTGGATTCAAGCGAGTCTCCTGCCTCAGCCTCTCGAGTAGCTGGGATTACAGACATGCTCCGCCACACCGGGCTAATTTTGTATTTTTAGTGGAGACAGGGTTTCTCCATGTTGGTCAGGCTGGTCTCGATCTCCTGACCTCTAGTGATCCACCCACCTTGGCCTCCCAAAGTGCTGGGGTTACAGGCGTGAGCCACTGTGCTGGGCCCTGGGGTCCTTTTTAAGCCTGAAGGGATCTTCCTGTCCATCTTTCTGACTTCCACACCTCCTTCAATGCTGGATTCTGATGTGTAGTGGCTGAGCTTGCTTTTTAAATTCATACCACTTAATACAAGTTATGTGGCAATGTCTCTTACACTGAAACGTTCATTTGTAAAAGGCTAAGGCCCCAAATAGGGTAAATGTACCTACAAGAGCATGGTGCAAGGTTGGGAAAATGCCAGCCTCCCGAAAGTGGAACTAATTGAACCAGCAAGTAGATCAGCTTAGCGGCCTGCCCAGTAAACCTGTTTGTCATGTGTTCTCAATCACAGTGAGTGCCAGGACTCCATCCAGTTTGATCCAATTTAGTGTATTCTTCAGGTAACTGCATTTAAGGACAGGAAAGCTCTAATCTAGGGTTTCTCGACGTTAGCCCTCTTGACAGTTTGGCCTAGATAATTCTTTGGGGGGGTGTGGTAGTGGTGGTAGTTGGGCTCTCCTGTGCATTGTAGAATGTTTAGCAGCATCCCTGGCCTCTAGCGACTCGACTGGAGTCTATCCACTAACACCTGCCTCCACCAGTTGTGACAGCCAAAAATGACTCTAGAAGTTTTTGTCCTTGAGAAGCAAAATAATCTATACCTGAGGCAGGGAGGACAAGATGGGAAGGGTTAGAGGGAGAAAGAGGGAGGGAGTGAGGGAGGAAGGACGGAAGGATGGATGGATGGTCGGACCAACTGACGGACTGATACACAACTGACCAACTCAATGACCTGACAAAGGGGAGAGGCAGGACAAGGAGGGGAAGAGAAAAGGAAGAAAAGGGAACTCTCATTGACTGAACATTTTCCACATGCCAAGTACCTTGCGGACATGATCTTATTTTCTTAACTGGTCTCCTGGTCTCAATCCTGGCCCTCTCCAGTCGATTCTTTTTTTTTTTAAGATGGAGTCTTGGCCAGGTGCGGTGGCTCATGCCTATAATCCCAGCACTTTGGGAGGCTGAGGCGGGTGGGTCACGAGGTCAGGAGTTCAAGACCAGCCTGGCCAAGATGGTGAAACCCCGTCTCTACTAAAAATACAAAAATTAGCTGGGAGTGGTGGCGGGTGCCTGTAATCCCAGCTACTTGGGAGGCTGAG